GCCTAAATATCAAAGAGAAATTAAAAATGCATGCCGTGGAAGACTTCGGGTCTTAGGAGGTTAAAGCAGCATTCAAAGACGAGCCCTAAAGCGTGTACCTTTTTCTTTTGAAGTTTTAGCTCCACTGACGGCAAAATGTCACCTTATCCCACACGTAGTCAGACTGATGTAAAGTTTTTGAGGCAAATGCTGCCGTTTATATTTTCATTAAAACATTTCTGACCATGTTCTGAAGAGTGGTCCGTGCGGAAGAGACTAAAACCTGGATTCTTACTAATAACCATCATCCCAGGAGCGGATGTCCTTCAAACTCCCATCAAGGTCAGACAGGGCAATGCACAGGGAAACATCTCAGACTCTACAGACCTCAGTATGTTAAATGGCAAAGTTGTTGACGATACAATTAGAAGAAAGCTGAAAAAGTATGTGTTTGTTAAAATGTAACAAAGTGTAGCAACCTACAGAAACCATTCTTTACATAGAAAAGTGGAGATGCTTGGACATAATTCACAAACACCTCATACTAACTGCCGGGCACGGTGGTGGAGGCGCGATGGTTTGGGCTTGTTCTGCAGCCACAGGGCCTGCACACCCTGCAGTCATTGTGTCGACCATGATTTCCTCTATATATCAAAGTAGTCTACAATCAAATGTGAGGCCACCTGTCTGACAGCTAAAGCTTGGCTTAAACTGATTGTGCAGCAGGTAAATGATCCCAAGTCCAGCAACAAATCTACAACAGAATGGCTGAAAAAGTCCAGATCTGCACCCCGATTACATGCTGTAATCTTTTAAAGCAGAGTGGATCAAAACTCCTTCACCATGATGTGACTGACAAGGTCACACAGGAAATAAACACTTCATGCTATTGCTGCTAAAGGTGGTTCTACAAACTATTGAATAATGAGGGGCTGGTTCTGTATTAAGGCTTAATTCTTATTAAATAAATAATACAGTATAATATGTCATATGTTGTTGTTCATCTGAAGGTGAATTAACCTCATTTCACAGTCCGATTTATAAAACCTTAAACCTGACATAATGTGTACTTTCTTTTTAGCATGATTGTATCCGATCGTCCGATGGTCCAATTTAGAAATATTTTTAAGTGTAAGCTGCTTTTATTTGTCAAAACTATATTGATTTATCAACATAAACCCAATAAAAATTACACTGTTATCCATTTGTAAGCGCGTGTTTTTACGCACCGCTGTACAGCTTGATGAGTATCATCATTTTTCTGCCTCCATATTCTCTGGATTTATTCTGCTTTTATGAACTTACAAATTCTACTTTAAACCTTCTTGAATGGTAACGCAACCACACTAAACATGCAGATTTTATTCATGAGAATTTAAATTTAATGCTGAAATAACAACAGCAGAACTTCAGCAAACTGCACTTTTATTCTGAGGTGCTGCTTTTCCAAGAGCACAAGATTAGAAGTCGCAGCGCGCTTCCTCCCCGGCCGTCCTCTCTCCAAAGTCTAAATCAATCACTTCCTGTTAGTGGAGAAGTGGACACACTGGACACTAGGATGTAATTTTGGCAAATCAACTCTACTGCTTCTCATTTAGAGGAGAGGAGCCGCTTTTGTCGTGTGCAGAGCCTGATTTCAGTGGAGTTAGCCACATTTGCACTGGTTAAATGATCGTTATTGTGCAATATGCAGTTGTTTTATGTAAACGATGTACAATAATGTGCAAATCATTTCTTTTCAACTTTCAATTATCAGAAGAATCTTTGATATCAAGGTAAAGAAATCAGTTAAGATTTGGTCATTTTTAAAGAGTTAATGCGACGCTCACATAAAGTCATAAAGCTTCCCTTCACACTGTTAAATCTGACTCAATTGATGGCGGCGATGATGAAGGTGATGATGAAGATGCACTGAGACAGCCTAGAGGGAGGGCACTGATATTTTTGCACAAAGACAAGTAGCCGAGCGCTCCATCCAACCAAAGAGGAGGAAACAGGAGGTGACACCGCGGGTCGACTGACCTCACACACATCAGACAGACACACACACACACACACACACCAGACACGCACACACACCCTCCAGACTCACTGACCAGAATCGACCGAAGACTTCAAAGTTCTGACATGGAGACAGGGCCGAGTTACCCTGTAACATCCCCAAGAAAGCTACGTCTCCTCAAAGCCGCTACAGCGCAGATAAAAAATGCCAAAATGAAGGCTAAATTATAATGTGACAATCTGGTCTGCTTGACTGTGAGAACTGGCTGCTGGTCCGTGTGTTTGTGATCTAGGATGGAGAAAAAAAATTGTGCTGATGTTTAACAGGATAAATGATTAATCAAGAAAATAATCAAGTCCTTCCTCACTTCTGCCCCTCCTAGTAAAAAAAGTTAATGACAAAGAGTTACAGCTAATCAAACTTTAAAGACAAGATCACATTTCTTCAAGTTTATTCCAGGACACTTCAGGATG